GTTGGGGGCCACTGCTTTAACCCATCACAAGCCCCTCCCTCCCTCTTTGCCCTCCCCCCTGGGCAGCTCACAGCATTAAAAGAGTTGAATTAGAAACCTGGGAAGTTAACTTTAAAACAGACGTAAAAGCGGTTGAATCATTTGAAACCAGCAAACTGTTAAAAAGTGATCGTAACTTTAGAAACAGCATTCGGGGACTCGGTCCTAGAAGCCTGCTTGAAAAGGTAGGGTCTCCAGCTGTCAGTGGAAGGATAAGAAAAAAGGGGGGAGCACCTGAGAGCATCTCCTCACCTGGGAAGCAGCCCCCCCCCGAGAAGGCCCTCTTTGGTGTCCCCGTCCACCCTCCCTGTGCTGGCCGTGGGACCGAGAGGAGGCTCGCCTCTGAGGAGCTGGAGAACTCAGAAGGCTTGATAGGGGGGAGAGGGGGGGGTCCTTCGGGTCTCCCGGCCCCAAGTCTCTTGGCTTCCCAGAAGCGGAAAAAAACGAACCCAACCCAAGAGTGATTTGTTGAACTAAAAGCTCATAGTGTGTGTTTGTCCATGTGGTTTTTTTTCCCCTCCTCTCCTTTTCTTTGCAGGAGCAGCTCATCCGGTTCCAGAAGCAGAAGCTGCAGCTCCCGCAACAGCAGCAGCAGCAGGCGGCGGCCGCCCAGCAGCAGGCGCAGTCCGGAGCCCAGCCGCCCCCCGCGCAGGTCCAGGTGCAGCAGCAACATCAGCAGCAGCCGCAACAGCAGCAGCAGCCACAAGCCCAGCAGCTCACGGCGGTGGCAGCCCCGAGGCCCGGGGCTGTCCTCACCGGCACTACCGTCACGAACCTCCAGGTGGCGCGGTTGGTAAGTTACCGGCCACGACTCCCCCTTGGCAACGTATAAACGCTCCCCTGGATCAGATCAGAACTGCACCTGATACAGAGGTGGACAGCCTGGGGGGGGCGGGGGACAGTCTGGGGCCTGTTTCCCCTCTTTGTCTTCCCTCCCCACCACCTACTCCCAGAGGCCGATATCAGCCACTCCTTTCCAAAGAGGACAAGCCGCCAGTCCAGTTTACTCAAGGCTACTTGAGAAAAATGTCCCTGGGACAAAAAGAGTGAGACCAGTTTACGTGCCCATAGAATCATAGAAGGGTCAAGTTGGAAAGGGGGCCTGTAAGGCCATCGAGTCCAACCCCCTGCTCAAGGCAGGAATCTGAATCAAGAAGGTCGGACAGAGGGCTGGCCCCCTTTTTCTCTTGAAGGCCTCGAGCGCCCGAGCGCTCATCACCTCCTGAGGTCATTGGTTCCGTTGTCGTACTCTTCTAACAGTTGAGAAGTTTTTCCTGATAGCCAGCCTATAGTCCGCCTCTGTGATGCTACAAAGAGAACCTGGGTCCCGGTTTCCCTGTAACTTAGGTTCTGTTAGGTTTCAATTCTGTTCCAAGTGGAGAGACTTAGAAAATGCCTCGTATTTCCTTTCTGTTGGCTGCACCTGCTGTGAAAGAGCTGGATTATTTTCCCCGGAGCGAACCCATAGGCAAAAATATTTCTCTTACCTTTAGAACAGGAGTGCATGACTTTGGCAGGTGTGGGGGAGCAATATTCTGCCCGGGGATCCTCTGGAAGCTGCTTAGACTGTCAGGAATGGCCTTGGGGGTTTGTGTACCCTAAACACACACCCTGAAATGGACAGGAGTCCGTTTCCAGTTATGAAAAATCACTTTGTATTTTGGCTGGCGAGGGGGCAAGTGGGGAGCCGAGACCTTTGTGTAAGGCGAATGGCTTCCCCGCTAGGATTCAAGGAATGGAGATTCAGTGGCTTCTTCTTTTTTTTTCCTGGTTGGGGGAGATCATTTTTGGGAAGGCAGGGAGGGATCGGGTGAGGCTGGGGCAGCGGGGAAGCTGCGGAAACAGCCTTGGGGAGGGGAGGACGCATATCGCCCACCCTGCCGGCAGTAATCCCCCCTCCCATTCCTTCCTGATTAGACTCGTGTGGCTGCTTCCCAGCTTCAAGCCCAAGGTCAGATCCAGGCTCAGACGCCGCAGGGAGCGCAGGTGGCTTTGGCAAAACCTCCGGTGGTCTCGGTCCCGGCTGCCGTGGTGTCGTCGGCGGGAGTCACCACGCTTCCCGTCACCGTGGCCGGGATCAGCGTCGCGATCGGGCAGCCGCAGAAAGCCGCAGGTATTTCAGAACTCTTCTGATGATCGGGGCTTCCACCCGGCCTGCGGTCCCAGCTGGCCTACGCATCATAGCATCGGCAGGCTGGACTGGGTTGATTTGGGCATTTGGCCCTTTCATTTAATGAGTTCTCCTTTGGTTGAAGTTATTATTTGGATTTTGGCTCAAATCCTTTTTTGGGGGGGGGGATTGAAAGAGAAAGATTTCTCAGCAGAAGCTGACGCCAGGAGTCCCTGCCGGGCACTCTTTTCCTCTTCATTCACGAGAACAAGGCCCAAACGTCTCTCTTGCTGGTAGAGATATTGGTCTAGAGTAGACGAAGAGGACAGGCACTTCTTGATAGCCTGTAACTCAAGACATTCATCTTGAAGAGCTGAGGTAGGAAACGAATACAGTGGCACCTCGACTTACAAATTTAATCCATATTGGAACGGCGTTCGTAAGTCGAAACATTCGTCAGTCGAGGCTCCGTTCGCGGGTTGAAGCTACTCCTTTTGCGAACGGAGCCGTTCGTAACTCGAATCGTTCGCAAGTGGGGACATTCGTAATTCAAGGTGCCACTGTACCTGTCCTGAGTAGCATTGCTGGAGAGAGGTGGTGCCCCTCCGAACCTTGGAAGCCCCCTTTCCTTGAGCTTAGGGTTCTTGGACGCTTGATCTCCAGCTTTGATCCCAACTTAGCAGGTCCTCAGATCTGGTGGCGCCCCCCCCCTGAACCCCAACCATTTGGCCCCAACTGGGGGGCGTTCCAGATCCTAAGCCTTTTCTTGGGACGGACCGAATGACGAGCGTGCCGGTTTCTGTCTTGGTGTCCCGCGCAGGGGGCCAGACGATGGTGACCCAGCCGCTCCACGTCCAGCAGCTGCTGAAGCTGAAGCAGCACCACCAGGCAGCCCAGCAGCAGAAAGCGATCCAGCCCCAGGTGGCCCAGGGACCGGCGGCCGTGCAGCAAAAGGTTTCTTCCTCTCTGCCTCTTCCTTCCGCATCTCTGTCTTTCTTTCCGACCCGTGTGGATCCTCACGTCCTCTATGCATTAGTGTTCATTTCAGATTTATTTATTTATCTTTTACATCGTGTACTCCCCACCTTTAGGCCGACGAGGCTTCCGGGAAGTTTCTGAAATGGGTGATTAAGGCAACCCCCCCCCCTTGCCCTTAGCAGCTAAAACGTCAGGTGTGATACGCAAGGAGTAAAGGATGCGAAGTGAAGTTGACAAGGGACCAGTTCAGGGTCCCCTTGTTTTCCTCCTGTGGGCAAAGGAATCATGGCTAGAAGTGGAGGGACGGTTTCTTAGCAGCCTGCATTTTAAACCTGTGATCCACCCCCGATGCAGCACTGCTTTAACAGTGAGAGGCCGGATAAAGTAGTTTCAAAAGCATGCAAAACCCAGAGACCCTTCCTGTTGATGTGGTCTCTTACCTACATCTTCTAAACCAGTGGTTCCCCGACCTTGGGCCAACTACAACTCCCAGAAGCCTTCACCAGCTCCTCTGCTGGCCAGGATTTCTGGGAGTTGAAGTCCAAGAACATGTGGTCCCACCAGAGCACATGTGCTGAAGATTGACGTGCTCTGTTAATTTTTATCAGTGATCTTTGTACCCTGTCTCTCCTCTTAGGAATCCAGAGATGGGGGTAGACCTGATCTTTTTTATTTTTACAACAGCTCTAGAGGGTCATTGAGGGCAGGAGAGAAATTTACTAGGCCAGCCTCGGGTCCCCAGATGTTCGTGGGCTGCAACTCCCAGAAACTGTAGCGAGCACAGCTGGAGAGAAGCAAAGGCTTCTGGGAGTTTTAGTCCAAGAACAACCCGGGGAACCGAGGCTGGGAAGCACTGCCTTCATGCCCGATACATCTTGTTCGCCTTTAAGGCGTTGGTTCCCAGCCTTGGATTCCCCGGATGTTCTTGGGCTGAAACGCCCAGAAATCCTGCCCAGCCCAGCGAGCGGCGAAGGCTTCTGGGAGTTTGAATCCGAGAACATCTGGAGACTCAAGGATGGGTCGCCTGACGAGGTTCTTGGCTAAATGAGGATCACAACTCGGCTCGTTTGAGTCTCAGTTCCGCACTGTGAACCCAGCGGTGGGTCCGGTCGCTCTCCAGATGCGTTGAGCTGCTGCTCCGTCGCTGGCCGGTGGCCGAAGCTCTGTGGGGTCCCCGAGTCGCTTTCCCCCTAGTTCTCGCCCCTGCCCTGACTCAATGAGCCCCGTGTCCTGTTTTGCTGCTCCAGATGAGTGCCCAACAACTCACCGTTCAGGCGTCACACCAGACTTCCCAGCAGCAGAAAGTCTATGCTACCCAGCCGGCCCTTAAAGCGCAGTTCCTGCCAACATCTCTCTCCCAGGCCCAGAAACCGGGTGGAACCCAGCAAGTCCAGACCCAGATACAGGTACCCGTAGCCTCTTTCCACCTCTCCGGAAATCGGGCGGGCGCGGGCAGGCGTGGGACAGCTTTTCTCGTCAAACTTCTCCTCCCCGTTCCCTTTGCAATTATTCCGTCTCCATTTCCATTTCACTCACCACCGAATCGGTCGCGGGCTGAAGAGGATGCTGTTGTGGGATGAGATCTGTTGTGTTGTTTTTAAAAATCTTCTTAAGCGAAACTGAAACCGGGAAACCCCTTCCCTCTCACCCCCTCCTGTGTTCCTAAAGGTTGCAAAGATCCCGCAGGTGGTCTCCCAGCAAGCAACGGTGGCCAATATTCAGCAAGTCGTGTCCGTTTCTCAGCAGGTCAGTTTCACTCAGATTCTGTCTTAACGGCATTCAGGGTCCTTTTGCCTTTGGGTTCGACGTGCTGTTCCTCTTGATCCCGTAAGGTTGCCCCGATGCTCGTTCCTGCACCAGGGACCCTCCTCGTGAGAGTCGCTTTCGATTCTCAGGGACCTCGCCTTTGTCAAGCTAAAGCAGTGCTTCCCAACCTTGGGTCCCCAGATGTTCTTGGACTTCAACTCCCAGAAGCCTTCATCACAGGCTCTGCTGGCTGGGATTTCTGGGAGTTGTAGTCCAAGAACATCGGGCGACCCCAGGTTGGAAAGCACTGGGCTAAAGGATCTTTTGAAAATGGCTCACTGTTAGAGAATAAAAAGACCAAGGTAATTAATTTTAGGTGATATGATAACACTACTTTATTTTGATGAGGCATACTAGTATATTTCTGATCTTTGTGCAACCAAAACAGCAGCTTACATGCAAGGAAAAGGTTGGGTAAGTGTTTGAGAGTACCTTGGAGTTGAAAATCACTCTCTTCCTCTCTCTCTCACACACACACACCTTTACTTGAGAAAAGAAAGACTCCCTTCTACATCAAAGGTGTAGAAGGGAGACACCAAGGAACTTCTAATTAGAGACTGACCCTGCAGTGCCCATTGGAAGGGGAAGCAGAGAGCAGAAGACACAGGGGGAAGTGGAGCATCTCTGTTCTTTTCTCAGATCCTTGGATCCTGAGTCGAATCCCTCCACTGCCATCTACGCAATGTTTAGGCACGGGGTTTTTGGAAATTCATGGACTCCACCCCCACCCCACCCCATACGTTTGCAGGAATTCCCTCCAGCCAGACTCCTGAAGGCTTTAGCCAAAATAAACCCCAGTCCTTTCAAGTGTCTGTAATCACTTTCAGATGAATAAAGGCTTCTTTCTGGAATGATACAGAGGGCGGCAGTGGGAAGGCAAGGCTAGGTTTTATGGAACCTGCAAGGCACTATGGGCCTGGTGGTCGCTCTGCCTGTTATGCCGCATCCAAGGGGGCCTCTCAGGAAGCTTCTAGGCCCTTCGTGCCTTGGAGTTCCCAGAGAGCTTCGCTCTGCCTCGTCGCTTCCTTCATTTTCGTTGTTTCTCAGCTGAGGCCATTGCCTCTCATCTGAAAGCAATTACAGGCTGGAAGGGACTGAGGGAGGGGGGTTAGATTAAAGCCCCCAGAAGTCTGGTTGGGGGTGTGCGTTCCCACAGACCTCTTTGGGGCCAAAAAACCCATGCCTAGCAACGTTGTCTTCTGCATGTTGCAAGCCGAGCTGTGTTCCATCGTGGCCCAAATGGAGGCAACTTTGAAGAGTCTTCTGTGGTTGGTATAGCTCTTAGGTCAGATCAGAGCTCCCAAAAGCTATTATTTAGGTAGACTCCGAGAGCCTCTCAGCTAGGATTGCCACTGGCAAGTCCCGGGAATTCGTTTTTTCCCACTTGTTGGGCCGGGCTTTAATGTTTGCAAAGTCAGGGTCTTTGCCGGCCGGATGCTTTTCATTGACCCCTCCGTTCCTGTCTTTCTCCAGGTTCAAGCCCAGCCCCAGACCGTAACTCTGTCCCAGACGACGGCCGGGCAGCACCAGGTCCAAGTGATCCCGGCCACCACCGCCCAAGTGGTCCCCCAGAAACTCATCCAACAGCAGGTGGTCACCACCGCGTCCCCCCAGATTCAAGCCGCCGGGGTTCAGAACCCGGCTCAGCCCTCAGCGGCATCCGAGGGCCAGGCCCAGCAAGCGAAAGTCCAGATGAGACCTCCCGTCCGGTTAAAGGCGCCCAACAAGCCCAGCTGAGCCCACGTGGGACGCTGGGGGTGGTGGTAGTGGAGGAGAAGGAGGATATTCTGTCTGAACGCCTTCCACACTGGCAAATACAGGGCAGGGTCCCTGTGAGAATCCCTTCTTCTTAAACCTCTTCAGATCTTCTGTGCTCCAGAAGGGGAACCTAAGGGAGCAGCTGCTTTAGCCAAGAACCTCCACCTTGAGCTGCTGTTGCTCTTTAATTCTAATGAAAAGTTCCACCCCAAGAGGGGACCTTCAGAACCATCCGGCGTGTAAATATCGAATGACTCAACCCCTTTCCTGTTTCAGCCAAACCAATGAGGTGGCTTCTGAGCATCAGTAGACATTTGTCCGCACATGGCATCTCATCGTCATCACTGCCAGAGAGGAAATCGGATGTTTTTTTTATGGGCGCCGAAAGTTCAGGATATTTTCCAGAAACGCTGCCCGGGTCACGGCTGACCGAAGCACGAGTCTTCTCTTCCGCTTGTGGGTAGGGCAGAGCGCTTGTGGGGAGGGGAAGAGATGGGTGAGAAGCGCTCCCTGCGGGGCCCTGCTAATCAGTGTGAAGTTTTGTAAGTATTTGTAATTACGAGCCATGTTTCAATCCCCATTTTTTTTGTAAGTCTTTTTTAAAACAGAAACAAAAAAAAACATTGGCTAGTTGCGCGTTGGTGTTTTTTTTTAATGTACAGTTTTTTGTTGGTTTTTTTAAACACATCTACCCTTAAGCTTTTGCTACCATTTTCATTGTTAAAATATTCTAAGCATGTTTTTTAGTAAATAAATACTGTGTGATAGCAGCTGTGTGTGATCCCCCCCCTCCGCCCCACTTTTATGTTGTAGAAGGACATTTCCGTTCTTATCGCTGAACAAATGTNNNAATGTGTTTTTTTCCGTTCCCCCCCCCCCCCTTAGGGAGGCTTCCAGACTGAAAGGATCTCCATCTCGTTCTTAAAGATCCGTTTTTCAGTGTGTTCAGTTCTATTTTGGCTCGACGGGCCGAGAGGATCAAAAAAGTGCAACCGAGTTTGGCCTTAGCGTAAAGAGTCAGCGTGAAATGTTTCTCCTCTTTTTTACTAGAGCTTTGAAAAACAATGGCTGCCCAGATTCTAAGAAGGGAGGTTGGGGGACCAAGTTTTCATGTCCAGGTCTGCCTTACAGTTTTCCTTTCTCTAATTCATGTAAAACAGGGGTGAGCGATGATGATACACATTTAACCAGCACGGCCAAGAGGTTTAGGGATTCTGAGCGCTATAATTCAAAATAAAACAATTTTCCTGTTCTCCAAACTCCCTTTTTTTGTTTTGAAAGACAGCCTCTGATTTTACAGATGTGCAGTATTTTAAAAAGCAGCTAAATGAAGTATGTTTTTTTTTTTTGCTTGCACTTTTTAGGCCCCCACTTGGGTGTGTTTTTGTGTTAGCTGCTGATCTGTGAGTTGCGAGCTAGTTAAATCGGAACAGGAAGAAAGATGCTAAGGGTGATACTCAGTCTGGAATTTCGCTTGCATTTTGCCTCTAGAAATAGGGTTAGGATGTGTGTAATTCATCAGTCTTAGATCATCACACCAAAGCTTTCTTTCCCTCCTTTTTACAAAGTGTCAATCGCTCTGCTTGCTTTAAGTCTTCATTAAGCGCATGTGTGTATTAAGTTGTAAATGGACAAAATCCAAGCTAGGACCCAACACTGTTTTGACAGCCTCTGTATTCTTCTGATGCTGTCAGATGAAATAATATGTTTTCATGGACAGTGATGGTGACAATTACACACACACACACCCCTCTCTGCCTCCTCTTTTGCCCCACCTCTTTCCAACAGGAGCGTCCGGAACCCCAGTCTAACTTGTAAATACCTTTACGGCCATAAAAAAACAAACACGTTTGTACCTGATCAATAGAACCGTAAGGACTTGTGTCGTATCCTACCAAAAAGTGTAATAAAGTGTACATTTTTAATAACGCCTGTCCCCGAGTGATGCTTCACGAGAGGTCAACGTTTTGCATTGTCTTCTTCGTTCTGCCGTCCCTTGAAAGCCAAGGAAGGAGGTTGAACTCTTGAAACAGAAGATCAAGAAACTTGTATAATCAAAATCAAGTCAAAGACACACCCTTATTGTCCGTTTGTTTGTTTAGTGCATTTCTAGGCTGCCCTTTCTGGACAGCAGGGGGAAATCACACACGAAAAGAACAGGAACTTAAAACCAGATATGAACAGCAATTTAAAAATGATGGAACAAAAACTGGTTTTAAATCATCTAAAATAGATTGAGATATATAAAACTATTTTTTTAAAAATCCATTAAAAGGATAGATTAACATAGGGCAATTAGCCAAGGCCAAATCAGACACCAAGCACCCCAAAGCCCTCCTTGGAATAGCAATGTTTCCACTTGCTAAAAAGAGAAAGGGGCCAAGCTTTGTGGGGATTGCTTTTAACCCTGGTGATGAATTTTGGAATTGATTGGTTTGAAATGTGGTGGAGGACACTTAACCCTGGTGATGAATTTTGGAATTGATAGGTTTGAAATGTGGCGGAGACGCTTTGCAGATACTCTGAACTGCCAGAAAGGCAAACCAGTGGGGGTCCTAGATCAAATCAAGCCTGAACTAGATCTGTAAGGCAAAAAAAAAAGTTGAAATTTGAGGTTGTCCGACTTTGGGCACCTCCTGAAAAGGCTGGGTTCTCTAGCAAAGACGATAATGCTAGTAAAGTTTGAAGGCAGCAGGAAAAGAGGAAGCCCAAGTACGAGATGGGCTGACTCCTTACAGGAAGCCACAGACTTGAGTTAGCAAGTACTGAACGATCGAGAACAGGGAAAAGAGGAAGCCCAAGTACGAGATGGGATGACTCCTTAAAAGGAAGCCACAGGCTGGAGTCTGCAAGTACTGAACGATCGAGAACAGGACATTTCCGAGGAGGGCTAGGAGTCGAAAGCAGCTTGACCATCGGGCAACAACCCCGCACTTGGGAAGGCGAAGTTTGGCACCCCGGGTCTCTCTCCGCGCCCAGAGCGCGCCCGGTAGTCTTAACCCTGGAGAGCCACCCCCCAAAGGGTCTCCGTCTACACGGCAGAAGGGGGGTCCCACCTCCGGATCGCCAGAAGAGGTGGCTGCCTTCTGACACCCTTGCCTGAAAAAAGAAAGAAAGAAAGAAATCTGGGCAAGTAGGACAGGCGAAGAGGGCGCTGCCACCCCAGCCATCCTCTCTTTGCGCTCTCTTTGCGCTTTTGCTTTGAGCGGCACGACGATCCAATAGGATCCCCCTCCCGGGCTCTGCGCTTCCAAGATCCTCCTCGGGATCCACAGGATCCTCCTTTTCCCCTTGCACCGCCCAGAGACGTCACGGGCTCCCGGGCGGAGCCGGGGCGGTCCTGCCTGCTTTGCCTTCCGCGCACGTGGGGTGGACGGGCTGGAAAAGCCCCGGCGAGCCTTCCGGAAGCCTGCCTTCCCCCCCACCCCAAAGGAGGCGGCGATCGGGACCGGAGCGATGGCGGCCCGATCCTCGGGCGAGCGGCTGTCTCAAGCGGAGGCCACCCTGGGAGCCAGCCTGGAGGCGCTGCTGGCCGGCCGGAGCCACGCCAACCGGGTCTTCGAGGTGCTGGAGCTGCTGCAGGTGAGGATCGGGGACGCTGGAGGGGGTGTCCCCCCCTTGGGAGCCTTTTCCCCCTCCTCCCCGGGAGACCTTCTCCCTGCCCCTTCCCACGACCCCCTTGCACCCGATCCAACCTTTTTTCTTCACCTCCTTTGGCCGCGATCCTGGGAAAACCTCTTCCCACCGCGCGCGCGTCCCGATCCCTTTTGGAAACCATCCTTTGGCCCCTTCCAATGCGCCCAGGTGCTCTGATAAGACTACATCTCCCAAAATTCCTGGCCAGCGCAGCTAGCCCAGGTGCTCTGATAAGACTACATCTCCCAGAATTCCTGGCTAGCGCTGAAGGCTTCTGGGAGATGGAGTCCAAGAACATCTGGAGACCCAAGGGTGGGGATATCCATGGCTTTCGAGGACCCTTCTTGACCCTTTTTCTCCCCTGCCAACAACAGGACGAGGAGGAGCAGATCATCCTGGCCGCCATCCGGACGTGCAGCCGGCTTTTCGGGGCTTTGCTGGAGCGGGGCGAATTGTTCGTGGGGACGCTGCCCGCCGAAGAGGACGCGCTTCAAGGTGGGGGGGGTGATGATCCGTGCCACAAATATATTGCACGCAGACGACGGTGGTCCTGCAAGACTGGTTAGGTCTTCCGTTCCTGAACATCCAGGGGCAAACGAGGAAGAAATGCCAATAGTCCTTCTCCCCCCCCCATCATCCCCCCATCATCTCTCTGTCCTCTTCCCCACCTTTTCCCCTTTTGGTTTCAGAGAGCGCCAGCGTGGAAGAGAAGTATAAAATCTGGATGAGGCATCGCTACCAAAGCACCGCCCGCTGCCTGTCGGAGATGATGAGCCATAAATCTTTCCGTGTCAAAGTGAGTTTATACCCGAGGGCCTCTCTGAATGTCATCATCATAGGCATCCTTCAGTCTCGAGAGACTATGGTATCGCCGAATGTAATCCCTGGGAATGGCATTCACAAGCCTCCGGGGGGGGACGGGACGTGGGTTTGAATGGGAGATGGGAAATTTCTGAAAATTTCCATTCTTTTTTTCTGGGGGGGAGGGGGGAACACCACGTTCTGGAATTAAAAAACAAAAACGGAACGTTTTGGACATTTTGCCTCTCTAGAGAAAACATCAATGCATAAAAGTCCCAGGAATCTTTCATTAAGGTCTTTGTGTGATAAGAGTTTGAATACCAAACTATATTTATCAAAGCATTAAAAAAACATATTCCACACTCCTTTTTATCTCTCCAAATTTTCCACACACACCCCAAAAAGCTTTGTTAAAAAAATGAAGGGAGATAATTCTCCCCATTTTCTCAGGCCTTCTCTAGTTTGAATTCGGCCTGAAAGTAGGATATAAAAAGGTCACGCCTGCTTGGAGGAGGTTTAAAAGAGGGAGAAGGCGGAACGTGGCCAGCTATTTCTTGACAACTGTTTTCTATATCACGTCTTACAAAGCCACCCCACGGGATGCCGGCCACACGGCAGCCGTGGGTATTCTGTCGTTAGCCCTCTCGTTAGGTCCCATCTCAAGACGAGCTTGGCCCTAGGAAAAATTCGGCTCAGAATTTCTCTGAAAAGTCCTAAAAAGTAGCTTTAGAGTAACTAGAAAACATGACATGTTATGCCTGTACAGCAAGGAGGGAAGGGAAAACGTCACTTGTCATATTTCATCCATTTGTTTCTCCCTTTCTCCACCTCTTTAAAACCCAAGGAATCGGCTTTGTGTACCCTGATGAAATTCGTCGCCTTAGAAGCCGAACACCCTCTGGTCAAGAATGAATGGCGCTTCAATTTCCCCCGAGAGCTTTTAAAAGTGAGTTGGACCAATGAATCCCCTGGCCAACCTTGGGAAGGGTCTGTCGTTGATTTCAGATTTTGTATCGGCTCCACTGCCGCTATGGACGTTCAAGGATGCTTATGGGGACTGGCAGCTACTTAGCCTTTGAATGCAATATGCCCAGGAACGTTGGGAGCTGGTGGGGAGGAATTGTAGCTCCATGGTGAAGCATGTGCTTTGTGTGCCAAACGTCCGATCCTAGCCCTGTCTGCAAGGATAGGGCTAGGAAAGGAAAGAATCTTCTCCGAAACCATGGAGATTTGCTAATGGATGGAACAAAGGTCAGGCTTGGGACGAAGCAACTTCCAACGTCTCTCCTGTTTGCATCTTGCTAGTTGGTGGTGGAAGGCTTGCTGCCCACCGAAGAGAATTCGTCCCTGCTCATCTCTCGCTTCCAAGAATATTTGGACCATGACGACGTCCGCTTCTTCGTGATGAAGGCGGTGGCCGAGAACGTCGGCAGCGTGATGCAGAAAGCCAAACGGGTACCGATCGAGCCAAATCAGATTAAACTGTGGGAAAAATCGAGATCAGGAAGTCCATGAATTGGGGATAAAGGATAGAAATATGTAAATGAAGAAGTGGCATTATGTAGATGAAGGGGTGTGGCCGTGAAGAACAGTTTCATATATTTCTCTTCCTATATTCCCCTGCAGCGGATAGGCAGGGGGAATCTTCCTTCCGACATGGAAAGCAATATATTGCCGTCATATTTAGTAGACAGACAGTCATAGGTTTATTCTCTGTGAAAATCATTACGTGATTTTTAGCCCCCCCCCGGGTTTTTTGTGTGTGCGTGTGTTGGAGCAGCTGACTGATTTTGTGGAGAGCAGGTAATCAGCTCCGGGTTTTCGTTGGAACTAGAGATGGGCACGAACCAGCGGTTTGGTGGTTCGTACCGGTTCGTTTATTGGCTGAATGGGTGCTTCAAAGCCCCACTCTCTGCTCAAAGGCAGCAGCCTGGCTTGTCTGGCCAGTAAACGAACTGGTACAAACCGCCAATCCAGTGGTTCCTGCCCATCTCTAGTTTGAACTCCAAAAGGAGATACCCAGCAGGTAGAACCCACTTTGAAGCTAGGTCTCAGCACCTGAGAGGTTCGGAGTAAAACCCGGCACAGGTTTATTTATTTACACTTCCTCTCCTTCCATCAAAGTTGGAGTCACCCTGCAACATACATATCCTAAAGATAAACAGGTAGAGAAGGCAGTTTAATGTCCTTGATTTCCTTGTAAGAAGGACAGGATAACACCGTATTCAATCAGCAGAATAATAAAAGATAAGTATATTGTTATAGTAACAGGCATGATTTTCCTGATTGCAAGGGGGGAGGGATTCTGCCACATTTGGGGGCATGTTACTCTCTTTTGAAAGAGGGAGCTTGCCTTCCCTCCCTCTTGAGATGGGTGCAGCTTGAGCGTGCATGCCTCTGTGGGTGCTCTCCTGCACATGTGGTTCATTTTTTATTCTTGCCCTGCTCAAGGCACCGTTCCCTGTTTATCAAAAGAACGTCTTCGCTCTCGCCGCCTCCATCAGCATGCCAAGCAAAGAGAGCGAAATAAACAACTTCCTTGTGAAACACGGTGAGTTAAATCTTAGCAGTGGCTTGTCTGGAAGAAAAAAAAACTATATGAGTGTGGTTTTCTCCTGTCCTCTTGTTGAGATCCACCCAGGTTCATATAGATGGAGCTAAATAGTCTGGGAATGGAGCTAAATTCACAAATCATCATCATCATCAATTCCATTCTGACTAATGGTGACCCTTTTCAGGGTTTTCCAAATAGAAAATACTCATGTTTACCCTTCGCTTGCTTTCGGGTCCCCAACCTTGGACCTCCAGATGTTCTTGGACTTCAACTCCCAGAAATCCTGGCCGGAAGAGGTGGCGGTGAAGGCTTCTGGAAGTTGTAGTCTAAGAACATCTGGCGGCCCAGCTTGTTCAGAGCCACACAGACAAGCTCTTCTGCCAGGAGGCCCAGTGGGGAACTGAAACACACACACACACACCGACCTCTGTCTCTGCACCAGATACCCCAACCACTGAGCTATCCTGCCATCTTAAATCCATGAAAGGCCATGTTAAATAAAATGTGTTAACCTTAAAAGGTACCCCAAGGTGCTTTACAGAAACAGATGTTTTCGTCTATATAAGTTTTTTGTTCCCCCCCCCTTTTAAAGCGAGCTGGAGGGAGATCCTTAGGGATGAGGATCTGCTTTGATCCCCATGACTTTCCTGAGGGCAATTAAGGCACTTTCTAGAGAGGAACGCTTCCCCAAGACTTAGCCTACAAGGCCCGAATTCAAGGTGCAGGCTCTGACTTCACAGGCTGACCTGGAAACAGAAGGCGATGCCTTATTCTGAGTGTCACGACCAGTCCACTCTACCTCAATATCTCCAGCTCAGACCTCAAGGATTCAGTGATGAATCTCTAAAATCTACATGGTCCCTGGTATTTCCTGGCAGTCTCCTCTCCAGCTGTTAACCAGCCCATTCCTGCTTAGCACCCAAAATCAGTTCAGCGTTCTAGTACTGCTGCATTTTTAGCATTCTAGCATCGCTAGAGAGCTCAAAAAAACATAACCGTACAGTATCTCCAGAATTTCAGGCAGAAGTTCCCCAGCCACCTTATGTTTAAATGGAAGGCGTCAGGCGCTGAAGCTAGAAATCTTCTGCAACCGTAACTTGTGTTCTGTCCCAGCTGTCGTCTTTTCCTTAACAGACCTGAGGGTCTCTTTGTTTTGCTGAATAATCATGTATTTCTCTCCCCCCAAATCACCTTCACAGATAACCAGGAGGAATGGAAAGTTTCCAAGCTGAAGGTATGTCTTTTGGTTGGTTTGACGAAATTATCCAGCCTGTTAAAAAAAGACTAGTTTTGCTTATCTTGAAAGAGAATGGTCTTTTCCTTCGCTTCTTTTTTTTTTCTGTCTTTCTTTCCAGGAACACCGGCTGGCCTTTGAGAGAATGTGGCTCAGGTTTCTGAAGCACAAGGTGAGCGATGGGACGCGTCTCTGTTGCTCAAGGAACGGATCGAAACGTTTTACGTAGGGAAGTGGGAAGCTCAGGTGGGGTGAAGTCAGAAGGTCTGCTGTGTTGTTTTCCGACAGTGGACAGACAGAGATTTCGGGGAAGCCCTTGAGCAAGGGTTCAAAGCCCCTCCATCATTGTCTGCTCCTTCTCAACAATTTGAGTTTACACAGATATACTGCTCCTGCAGCTGGAGGCACCATGGAAGGTACCCCAACGACTGAGGGTAGCTGGATTTCTTGCCTTCCACAGATCTGCCCCCCCACAATGTGTCTGAGATAGGGGGGGCATCCAGAACTCTTTTACCAGTAGATACCATCAGTTAATGAACGGATAGAGCACCAAAATGCTTAGAAACATTATGAAGGACTTTTGAGAATTTTTTGTTTTGTTTCATCCATCGCTAGAGCCAGAATGAAAAGTGGAATCTCCACAATATTCTGCATTGCCTTGGCTTGTGTTTTCCTTTCTTCAAACCACACTGATCCCATTATGGGGGGCTCCCAGTGTACTTGTTTAAGAGGGGGAAAATGCTAACAGAGAGTTTCTCCCTCTGACTGGAGCCTCTTTGCACGGTTAGAATCAATACCTTTTAAAACTAATAATAATCGTAATTGTGTGCCATCAAGTCAGAGGCTTCCAGAGGAAAGGAAAAGTGAAACCACTTCTGTGTCTTCTCTCTCTGGGAGACGCTGAAGAGGATCGCCAAAAATCAGAACCGACGGCACACCGTTGTTGTCGTTTCAAGTCAATTTTGACGTAGATCGACCTTTTCCAGGGTTTTCCAGATAAAGAAGACTCAGAAGTGGTTGACCATTCTCTACTTCTGGGGTGCCCTGGGACTGTGCAGCTGGCCCAAGGCTACCCAGGCTGGCTCTTCTCATATGCCCAGTGAGGAATCAAACTCCCGAATTCTGGCTCAGCAGCCAGAGACCTAAACCACTGACCTGTCCAGCCAGCTTTGAGGTCCCTAAGCTGGTCGTTTGAGAGGCTCTACAGTATTTTACCAAAAGCTGTGGTTTCACAGACCCTGCTCCTTATTTGACACTTAGAAGTGTCTTACAACCGGAAGCTTTAAGCTGTGCCTCGCTTAGCTTGCTGCGCAGAAATCGGGCGGCGCCTCTTTCGAGACCCATTTCAAAATGGTAGCCGCCGTGCAGAAAGATTAAGCTCCTTGCTTTTCTCGAGGATTTGGAGGTTCACAGCGGCTTCCTCTCTGGGATTTGAAATACATGATTTGGCTCATCTCATGGGTCTCTCTCTCTCTGTCCCCCCCCCACCCCGCTGTCTTCTCCCTCCCAAGTTACCTGTCAGCCTCTACAAAAAGGTGCTGGTGATCCTGCACGACTCCATTCTGCCTCATATGAACGAGCCCGTTCTCATGATCGACTTCCTGACAGTCGCCTACGATGTAGGTAGGTAGAGTTCCTTTCTGCATTTCTTGGGCATGGGTGGCCTTGGCATGCCCGGTCCTCTGAGGACGACGGGAGGAGATGGAGGTCCATCGTAGGCAACTAGGTAAGCCCGGAGGTGCAGACCGGAGGTGGTCGGCTTTGAGGAATCTCTCAGGTTCCTCCACCGGATCTTCTGATCAGCTCTGGTGTGTCATTCATCAGACTTTTCCTCGGGATGATGATGGATACAATATTGGACTGGGGAGACCTGGGTTCGAATCCCCGCTTGACTGAGGAAACTTACTGGGAGTGAGGGAGGCCATAGGAATACGTTGGCATTTTTCAGGAGCATTGCTTTTCAGAATATTTAGCATTTTTCTCTTTATGGTTTTCTTACAGGAGGTGCCATCAGTCTCTTAAGCTTGAATGGATTGTTCGTTCTGATCCTCCATCATAATCTGTAAGCTCTGTTTTGCTTTCCCTGGGAAACCATCATTGCCACATGCTTTTACCCATTTTGAAAGAGTTGCAAGGCCTCACCTAAGATTGATTTCATTTCATTTCTTTCTTTTTTTCTTTCTTTTCTTTCTTTCTTTCTTTCTTTCTTTCTTTCTTTCTTTCTTTCTTTTTCCCATTCTCTTCCTCTAGGGGGAGCCCTGGGACCGTGCAGCTGGCCCAAGGCTACCCAGGCTGGCTCTACTCACAGGAGGCCAGGTGTGGAATCGAACTCCCAACCTCCGCAGCCCAAGACGTAAACTACTGGGCTATCCAGCCAGCCTTTGGCATCATCAGAATATAGGGCACCCCGAAGTGTCTCTGAAACTAACCATGGGAATGAATGAATGAATGAATGAATGAATGAATGAATGAATGAATGAATAAATAAATAAATAAATAAATAAATAAATAAATAAATAAAATAGTGGGGATTATATTGACTCTGATGCCTTTGAGGGTTACAGTGTGTCTGGTTGTTTTATATATATATATACATGCTTTATGTAGGGAATATCCAGATTTTTACAAGAAGCTCTACAGCCTTTTGGACCCATCCATCTTCCACGTGAAATACCGCGCCAGGTTTTTCCGCCTGCTGGATCTCTTCCTGTCTTCCTCGTAAGTAGTCCGTCCGGCGTGAAAACGCAGGGAGCATGCCTGTCCCTTCCCTAGACCGCACGCTCCTCCTGCTTCCAGCCGTCTAGAAAGTCCATCTACCTACCCTTTGGCTCTTGGTTCTCTTCTCCCGACAGGCATTTGCCAGCATACACGGTGGCGGCCTTTGCCAAGCGGCTGGCGAGGCTGGCGCTGGCCGCGCCTCCCGACGGCTTGCTAATCACCATTCCGTTCATCTGCAATCTCCTGCGGAGGCACCCGTCTTGCAAGGTGCTCATCGACAGACCCGGCGGTCCAGCAGGTGAGAGCAGAAGCTGCAGAAGATGGTGGGACGGGGTATGGCTCTTCCTGAGGGTTCTCATTTGCTTCCCTGCTGTTTTAGATTCATACCCTACTACAGTGGTGTCTCGCTTAATGAGCGCACCGTTTAACGACGAATCCGCATAGCGACACGTATTTTACAATCGCTAAGGCGATCGCATTGCAATGTTTAGATAGGCATTGCGATGATCGGTAAGCGATGTTTAGAAAACAGCTGATTGGCGGTTCCAACATGGCCGCCGGGTGCAGAAAATGGCCGCCCGCAGCGTTTTCACGCCCTGCCCTCGCTTACCGGGCAGTGAAAATGGCGGCCGGATAGGCGAATCTTCGCTTACTGGTGTGTTTTTCCCCAATAGGAACGAATCCGTATAGCAATGTTAATCCTGGAACTGATTAACGTTGCTATGCGGAGCACCACTGTACTTTTTTTCTCCAAAGAGCTGAAGGCAAGGGACTTTGCTTTCTTCCTCCCTACTTTGATCCACCCAATAACCCTGCAAGGTAGGCGAGCCTGTGCGAAAATGGCTGGCCCACCCAGTTCGTTCTCTAGCTCTATGGAGGTCTTAAGACCTGGATCTCCGATGTTTTGTTCCTCGCGACTTTCTCCATCTGATATTCCACAGAGATGCTGGAAGACCCCTACCGGATGGAGGCCGAAAGCCGAGCATTTGAGAGCCCTCTTTGGGAGATCAAAGTAAGCCCTTCCCCCCCCCCCCGGATGACAGTCAGACGGACCATCCTAACTATAATTAGTTAATTCTTACTATAATTTCTACTATAATTTTCTGTTTTTCCCATCTCGAGCATCACTAAGATGATTGTTTTGAATTGTTTTAACAGTTTTGGTTCATAACTTTTATTGGAACCCGCCCTGAGTAGACTCTGCCTAAAAAGGCGGGATAGAAATCTAATTAATAAATAAAATAAAATAAATGCAGTCGGGCTTGGGATGGGTCGGAGACGGAAGGCAGACCGCTGGATCATGAACCAACGTGGATGATGGGTGTAATACAAAATGAGCCAGCCAGCCAGAACCTTTATGGGGCATGGACAAGAAAAAAATCGCAAATGCAAGATGACAAAGAATGAATTATCTGGATCTCCAAATTCGTTGTATCTCAAGTCTGCGGCTGTTCATGATCTGGCTCAAAAAGGCAGTCCTGTTCTCCACAATAGTTGATTCTCCTGTTGACGGAATACAGTGCTGCCTCGCTAGACAGTTACCCCGCATGACAGTTTTTTCGCTAGACATTGACTATAGCGATTCGCAAAACAGTGAATCCTATGGGGGAATTTCGCTGGACAATGTTTGGTCCCTGCTTCGCAAACTGATTTTCGCTAGGCAACGATTTTGACAGCTCCCTCCGCGCTCACAAAACGAGTGTTTCCGAGACCTATGCTTCGCAAGACAGCTATTTAAACAGCTGATTTGCGGTTCGCAAAGTGGCTTTCCTATGGCGATCTTCACTAGACAACGACAATTCTTCCCCATTGGAACGCATTAAACAGGTCTCAATGCATTCCAGTGGGGAAATGCTTTTCGCTAGACAATGATTTCGCTAGACAGCGATTTCAGTGGAACGAATTATCATCGTCTAGCGAGGCACCACTGTATTCCCCAGAAATACTTGGGTTTCTCTCTTCAGGTGGTGTGATAACAAAACACGTGCATGCAGAAAGCATGCCTAAGCTGTAGAATGGCTTCTGGTCCAGCTGTCTGGATGGGAGATGGGCCTGGATGCGAGGCAGTGTCTTTTTTAGAGTCATTGTATCCCAAATCAAGAAGGGGAAGAGCTTAGGTCTCTGGCAGTGGCATTCATGATCCACTGGGTCACTTCCAGCGCTGCAGTTCTAATATGATGATGATGTTGATGATGCTTGCACCGTTCTCGTTTGTTCTGTCCTTCAGACTCTACAGAGCCATTATCACCCAGACGTAGCTAAAGCAGCCACCACGATTAACACAGCGCTGTCCGTGATGGAGGATGATTTATCGGAGGTGTTGGAGCTCACTGCTTTTGATGTAATTTTATTCCCTACTTGTTCATGAAATTAATTCATCGTTTAGGGGAATTTTTAGTCTCGCCCTTCGGCTAAAGAGCTTGCAGGGCAGGAGAAGGGCCAGCACGTCGGGGATGTGAGCTGTTTTCTCAGCTGTCCATGGCTCACTGGTTTTCCTGGCTGGATAGCTCGGTGGTATGGAGTTCGATTCCCCCCCACTGGGCCATGTAGGGGAAAAGCCAGCCTGTGTAGCCTTGGGCAGGCTGCATAGTCCCAGGGCTCCCCCTAGAGGAAGGGAAGGGTAAAACACCTTTGTTTCTCAAACCCTGGACAGGGTGACTATAAGTCAGAATTAATTTGATGACTCTTCCCTTAGGAGGCTCAGTACTAGAGGAAGGGAAGGGTAAAACACCTCTGTTTCTCAAACCCTGGAAAGAGTGACCATAAGTCAGAATTAACTTGACGACTCTTCCCTTAGGAGGCTCAGTGGGGAATTAAACTCAACCTCTGGCGCCACAGCCCAAACCACTGAGCTATCCAGCCAGCTTTTGTGGCCATAGATCCTGCCAAACCAAACCCTGTTTGCCTTAAAAGGGATTCAGGACACAGGATTTTTTTTAAAATTCCACAACAGACGAACACATCCTGAAAAAAACATGCAAGTCTCAACTAACCTTCAAAAATACTTTCAACCTCTCCCTCTCTTTTTCTTTCTCTCTCTGGTGCAGATATTTGACAAAGACATGAAGAAGGAAACCACAGAAGTGCCCTTGGAATTTCAGCGTGTCCAAGGCTTGTTCGGCAAAAAGCAGGATATTTTTGCAGAGTACTTTACGTTAGAGTAATTCTCGAAACCTTTTTTTTGTTGAAAGATGTTGTAATAAAGTGTATTATTATTATTTTTATTGCTGTGGATAGTTTTATTAAACATGAGCCTTGCATATGTGAAGTTTTCAGTGCATCTAAAAACTTATTTTTTTAGTATAATTTTTAAAATTCTTTTATTATTTTTTTAGTCCGCTATTATCCACCCCCGTCCTGCCGTGTGGTAGGGTCCTGGGGTGAACCGAAGACGAGCGATGCTTGATCACAAAAGATTCCTATCAGAGTGGAGGGAAGGACGAGACCATGTCTGAGTACCAAAGTGAATGCTTATTTCTGTTAATTAAGTCAAGTTGCCTCCAATTCATGCCAACCCAATGAATGAGTGCTTTCCAAAATGTCCTCTCCCCGGCCATCCTACTCAGCTCTTGTGATTTCAAGCCCGTGGCATCCTTTAATGAGTCAGTCCATCTCGTATTGGGTCTTCCTCTTTTCCTACTGCATTCCACCTTTATTGGGTCTTCCTCTTTTCCTACTGCATCCCACCTTTTTCCCAGCACGATGGTCTTTCCCAGAGAATCCTCCCTTCTCAGGACGTGCCTGAAGTTTCGTCATTGTGGCCTCCAGAGATACTTCTGGCTTGATTTGTTCTAGGACCCACTTGTCCGTCTCCACTCACTCAAGTTATGCCAACCCGACATGAGCCCTCAGTAGGATTTTGACCGTAGGTTTTAACCTTCACCTCACAAAATGGGTACCTTGCTTTGAAGCAATGAAAAATCTGCTAATCCTGGTTGGGATCAGAGTCGTGGACTGAAACTAGAAGCTTGAGGAGTTCCTTTTTGTAAAATTAGCAACCCTCACAATCCCTGGCCAGTGGCTCCAGTTGAAATCCCTCTCATGATCGGGGCCTCCTGTTGATTTATGGTAGCCACTGGCTTTCCATCTTTCCTTTTCAATCCGTAACCTTCTTGCCCTTGAAAAAACAAGGGGGGGGATGTTCTTTCTTAGAAGATCTGCTTATCTTCGTGAGGAGAGAGTGGGTCTCCTCTCACGCTTCAGAAAGCGAGCTGTTTATAAATATTTAAGGTGCAAAGCTGTGGTAACGGCGCCAGCCTTATCAGTCTGCACAGCCGTTCGCGAGGAGACTTTCAGGGGGCCTTTGCGGGCGGGAAGATTACAAATGCTTTTAATCATCCTCGGTATTAACTGCGACGCGAGATGGGAGCATCCATGCAGAAGGGAAGATAAATCGCCGTTGCGATTTTGATTTTGATCAGGCATAGAAAACACACACGTGCTGTGATGGTTGGCTACCCCGTGGGGTGTAGTGGATAGAGTGACGTCCTAGGATCCTGGGGAGGCCTGGGTTCAAATCCCCGGTCAGCCCTAGAAATTCACTGAGGGAGTGGACGTAGTAAAACCTCTTTTTAAATATCTCACTTTGAAAGCCCTATTAGGGTCACTGTTGGTTCTGAATTGATGGCATCGAACAACAGCGAACTGTGATAACTGCACTTCTGGCCATAGATAAATTTGTTTACAGATGTGGAGGCACGCAGGAGTCAATCCTATCGGGGTCCAACCCTTGGTGGGTGACTGGCAACATCTTCCCTGGGTTTTGCAAGGCGTAGCCGGAAACGTTGGCCACTGAGCCAATTCTAAAATCCGCTCTGCCTATTCTAAAAACTAAAACTTAATCGGAACAAGACGGGAGACTTGGTAAGTTGAAAAGCAGATCAGGGAACAGGGGCCTGACGTGTGTCAGGACGGGATTACGTTCCCCTAAAAACTCAGGCTTCCAAGGAGAGGTGATCCTCGATTCATCCCTTCACTCAGGTGCCAGGTCTGCAGTGGCCATTTGCACACTTAAAACTAATGCACCAGCTTCTTCCATTCCTTGAGAGGCCTGATCTGGCCACGGTCTTGTTAACGTCTTGTTTGGATTACTGCAATGGGCTCTGCATGGGGCTGCCCTTGGAAACTGTTCGAAATCTTCAGTAGGTCCAAGATGCATCCAGATACCCGAACCACTGAGCTATCAACCAGGCTGGGCACTAGAGGTCAGTAACAGCTAACGAAAGATCGCACAAAACGAGCTTTGCTTTCAGCCAAGAAGACAACGCGGAGCCGAGATGGGTTTTTTAACATTTCTTTTTATGCTAAAAGCACTGTCAACATACAGTGGGTTTAGGGGCGCAGGGCTAACGATTCGAGCTTTGCTTTCAGCCAAGAAGACAACGTGGAGCCGAGATGGTTTTTTTAACATTTCTTTTTCTGCTAAAAGCTCTGTCAACATGCAGTGGGGTTTAGGGGCGCAGGGCTACCCATCACTGTGGGATTGCCATGCCCGACAGCATAGTCCATAGTCTAACAATACGTTTTTCGGAGGTAGATTTGAGCTGAACACTAGAAGTCAAGATGATGGTCAACTATGGAACCAGTCAAGATCAAAGTCAAATAGGTGGGGCTTACCTTTGTGAACATCTTCAAGAGGAGGTTGGACGGCCTACTTGGGCTGCACATTCTAGCCTTGCCAAGCATTATCCAATAGTAAGAGAGCATGGGAGTTGTAGTCAAAACATCTAGAGAGTCAGAGCTTGGCCTTCAACTCTACCTATCCTTGGATCAGTGCCTCAATTCCCAACGTTCTCTCCCTAGATGTCAGATTACAGTCTCCAGGTTTACTGGTCCGTATGGTTAATGGCTTGGTGATTATGGGAGTTCTTCTCCTATAACCCGTCTTGGGAACTGCTGTAGTGGCTTACAAGTTCCCCTTCAATTCCACGAGTTCAGATACGGACGTTTTCCCTAGCCTGAGATGCCCCCATCCTGGTTTTGTCGCAGATAAATGGGAAGAGCTACCGACGGAGCCGTGGCACATGAGAGATGAATGGTGGGACTGCCACAAATGGGTTTCCACATAATGGCATCAGAGACTTATATATATATATATAATTTGTAAAGTAATTAAAGCCGTCTCCCTATGTGTTCTCCATGGCGTGTGCCTCGTGGAGGGCGAGAGGGAATAGCATTCACTGTGATGAATTTTACAAGTGAATGAAAAAGCAGCAAATGGGGAGGGTGTGTAGTGAGGCCAGAAAACGAGGGTTTAATTTGATCCAGGACTTGAGCCAAGAAGAAATAAATACCAACTTCGAGAAATGCTAATGTATTTAGCATTTCTTCCTCCTCGGTGAGCTGAGAGCCGTTTCTTCCAAAATCTTGCTGAGCCTTGGACCGATCCATGGTGGAGAAAAGCATCTAGTTTTTACACCGAAAGGCCACTTTTCCTTCTATGGAATGAAAACCTTGTATATTGTCCTACTCTCCCTCTCGGCCTCCCTGAAGTCTGTCAGATAGGCTGCGCTGAGATAGGGTGATCTGTCCTCTCAACGGTGATGCAGGACCAAGTGGGGATACAGGGCTTGGGGGTTCGCCCACGATGCCATGTTCCCATTGGGCCGCATCCCACAAATTCCACCCAATCAACAGAAAGCAACCTTTCCACACAGACAAAAAAGCCATCCGGGAAAGATGAATTTCCCAAGACGCTCATACATTTAAACGGCTCATTCCTTCACCTTTCCAGAAACGCAAAGGAGGTGTCACAGCCTGTGAATTAACTATTTCCCCCCTCTCCTTTATTGGTTTTTCACCTTTATAATTACAGGGAAGAACAGATGGCCAAAGCTTCTTCTTGAATCAAGGCAACCATTAAAATACCACCGGCTATTTGCATTCCTTTCAGGTGTGAGGTGAAGGAAGCGGCTTCTCTGGTCATCTTCTCAATGCTGCCTGAGCTAATATTTTGTACTTCACAGAGAACGTGTCTTTCCCACAGACACAGACACAGACACAGACACACACACACACACACACACACACACACACACACACACTTAATGGAGGTGTCCCGGATTTTTCTGTGTTCTCATCAATCCCACAGCACGAGTCCTCTTCGTGAAGTGAATTTCATGCTCCTTTGCAGGCAGAGATGTGCCGCTTCCGTGGAAGGGCAATGAGACCACCCATTTGTTCAGGCGGAAGGCTGTGGAGCCACATGACCACCCTCAGTGGTTTGGATCTCTGGCTGTGGTGCCAGAGGTTGGGAGTTCGATTCCCCCACTGTGTGCCTCTTGCGAGAAGAGCCAGCCTGGGTAGCCTTGAGCCAGCTGCACAGTCCCAGGGCTCCCCCTAGAGGAAGAGAATGGGAAACCACTTCTGAGTACTGTACTGTCTAAAACCACTTCTGAGTACTGTACTCTCTACATAGAATCCCCTGAAAAGGGTCACCATAAGATCTTTTGTTAGATACAGTGGTGCCCCGCATGACGACGATAATTCATTCCGTGAAAACCGCTGTTTAGCTAAATCATCGCCATGCGAAATGCGATTCCCCATTGGAATGCATTGAAACCCATTTAATGCATTCCAGTGGGGAAAATACCTTGTTGTCCAGTGAAGATCGCCCATAGGGCAGCCATTTTGCAAAGCACCGATCAGCTGTAGAAATCATCGCCTTGCAAATAAACAGTCCGTGAAACACGGACCAAATCAATGTCCAGCGAAAATTGCCCATTGAAATCACTGTTTTGCGAATCGCTATAGCGATCGCAAAACGTCATCGTTATGCGGATTCATTGTTTAGCGGGGTTGTCATCTAGCGAGGTACCACTGTCTCAGGATTTTTCGAGAATTCTGAGATTTGTAATCTGAAGACTTGAATGAGCACACCATCTAGACTTAGATGTGACACCATCACCTCGTGGCAACCAGAAATGAGATAGGCCTTAAAGGCAAAGCATGAGTTGCCTCCATTGGTGGTCCTCTGTTTGAGGTCCCACCTCAAGCCTGAGGCATCTCTAATTGAAATGATCAGCTAAGCAGACGGTAAGAACAACATCAACCTGAAACTCTGGAGTGATGCTGTTGTCATAGCCATGGACCAGGGCTTTTTCCTCTTAGCAGGGCTACTGCTGGGACCAGCCTATATCCTGAACATGGAAGCTAAGCAGGCTTCGTTCTGGTTAGCAGTTGGGTGGAAGACCACCAGGGATCTCTGAGAAAGCCTTTAAAAGCT